TTGAAACCATCTGGGACCGTTTGAAACCATTATGGGACCGCTTGCGAGTGTTTGAAAGCGTTTGCGAGCATTTGGGACCGTTTGGAAGTGTTCGGGAGGCGTTTGGAACAGTTCGGGACTGTTTGCAAACGTTTGGATCTATTTGGGACCGTTTATAAGCGTCTGGATCCGTTTGGGAGCGTTTGGAACCGTTCGGAGCCGCTTGGATCCGTTTGGGAGCGTTTGGAACCGTTCGGAGCCGCTTGGATCCGCTTTGGGAGCGTTTAGATCTATTTGGGACCGTTTAGAAGCGTCTGGATCCGTTTGAGAGCGTTTGGAACCGTTCGGAGCCGCTTTAGGACCGTTTAGAAGTGTTTGGATCCGTTTGAGAGCGTTTAAAACCGTTCGGAGCCGCTTGGAAGCGTGTGGACCCGTTCGTTACCGCTTGGATCCGCTTCGGAAGCGTTTGGATCTATTTGGGAGCGTTTAGGACCGCTCGGAGGCGCTCGGACCCGTTCGGAAGCTGCTCGGGACCGTTCAGAACCGCTCGGGACCCTTTCGGGAACCGTTCGGAAGCCGCTCGGGACCGTTCAGAACCGTTCAAAACCGCTCGGACAAGTTCGGAACCGTTCGGGAGCTGCTGAGAACCCCTCGGACAAGTTCGGGACCGTTCAGAATCGTTCAAAACAGCTCGGATCCGCTCGGACCCTTTCGGAAGCCGTTCGGACCCGTTCGGAGCCCGCTCGGATCTGCTCGGGCCCTTTCGGGAACCGCTGGGAACCGTTCAGAACCGTTCAAAACCGCTCGGACAAATTCGGAACCGTTCGGAAGCCGCTCGGGACCGTTCAGAACTGTTCAAAACCGCTCTGAACCGTTCGGGACCCGCTCAGACCCTCTCAGAACCGCTCGGAACCCTTCGGGAACCGCTCGGACCCGTTCGGAACCCCTCGGAAGCCGCTCGGAACCCTTCGGAACTGTTCAAAACCGATCGGAACCCTTCGGAACCGTTCAAAACCGATCGGAACCGTTCGGAAGCCGCTCAGAACCACTCGGACTCTTTCGGAGGCGCTCGGGACCGTTCAGAACCGCTCGGAACCGTTCGGAACCCTTCGGAGGCGCTCGGAACCCTTCAGAACCCCTCGGAAGCCGCTCGGAACCCTTCGGAACCGTTCAAAACCGATCGGAACCGTTCGGAAGCCGCTCAGAACCGCTCGGACTCTTTCGGGACCCGTTCAGACCCCTTCGGAGGCTCTCGGAACCGTTCAGAACCGCTCGGACCCCTCGGGAACCCTTCGGAACCCTTCGGAGGCGCTCGGGACCGTTCAGAACCGTTCGGAACCGCTCGGAACCCTTCGGAACCGCTCGGAACCCGTTCGGAGGCGCTCGGAGGGGCTCGGGGATGGAGCTGGCGCTGGTGCTGGCGCTGGCGCTGGGCGCGGCGCGCGCTCTCTCCACGTGCCGCTCGCTGGACCTGGAGGCCGCGCGCCGGAAGCGGATCGAGGCCGTGCGGGGCCAAATCCTGAGCAAACTGCGCATGAGCGCCCCTCCCCCACCCCCTCCCCCCCCCTCCCCCTCCCCCTCCCCCCACCCCTCCCCCCCCCCCCCCCACCCCCCCCCGTCGGAGCCGTCGCTGCCTGATGACGTCCGCGCGCTCTACAACAGCACGTGGGAGCTGCTGCAGCAGCAGCAGAGGGAGAGGTGGGCGCCCCCTGCCGGCCCGGAGGACTACTACGCCAAGGAGCTGCATCGCTTCCCTATGGAGCCCCCGGGAGAGGGTGAGAGGGGCATCGCTATGGGGGTTCCCCATGGGGGTTCCAATGGGGGTCCCTATGGGTACCACAATGGGTGTCCCTATGGGCATCGCTATGGGGGTTCCAATGGGGGTCCCCATGGGGGTTCCAATGGGTGTCCCTATGGGCATCCTATGGGGGTCCCCATGGGGGTTCCAATGGGCATCGCTATGGGGGTTCCAATGGGGGTCCCTATGGGCATCCTATGGGTACCACAATGGGTGTCCCTATGGGCATCTTGTGGGCGTCCCTATGGGCATCCCAATGGGCATCGCTATGGGGGTTCCAATGGGCATCCAATGGGTGTTCCAATGGGTGTCCCTATGGGCATCCTATGGGTGTTCCAATGGGTGTCCCTATGGGTACCACTATGGGTGTCCCTATGGGCATCCTATGGGGGTTCCAATGGGGGTCCCTATGGGCATCCTATGGGTACCACAATGGGTGTCCCTATGGGTACCACAATGGGTGTCCTAATGGGCATCCTATGGGTGTCCCTATGGGCATCGCTATGGGGGTTCCTATGGGGGGGTCAGTGGGTGTCCCTATAGGCATCCTATGGGTGTTCCAATGGGTGACCCAATGGGCATCCTATGGGTGTTCCAATGGGTGTCCCTGTGGGCATCCTATGGGTGTTCCAATGAGTGTCCCTATGGGCATTCTATGGGTACCACAATGGGTGTCCCTATGGGCATCTTGTGGGCGTCCCTATGGGCATCCCAATGGGCATCGCTATAGGGGTTCCAATGGGCATCCTATGGGTGTCCCTATAGGCATCCCAATAGGCATCCAATGGGTGTTCCAATGGGTGTCCCTATGGGTACCACAATGGGTGTCCCTATGGGCATCGCTATTGGGGTCCCCATGGGGGTTCCAATGGGCATGGGTGTTCCTATGGGTACCACAATGGGTGTCCCTATGGGTGTCCCTATGGGTACCACTATGGGTGTCCCTATGGGCATCGCTATGGGGGTTCCAATGGGCATCCTATGGGTGTTCCAATGGGTGTCCCTATGGGCATCCTATGGGTACCACAATGGGTGTCCCTATGGGCATCGCTATGGGGGTTCCAATGGGCATCCTATGGGTACCACAATGGGTGTCCCTATGGGCATCTTCTGGGCGTCCCTATGGACATCCCAATGGGCATCCTATGGGTGTTCCAATGGGCATCCTATGGCTGTCCCTATAGGCATTCCAATGGGCATCCAATGGGTGTCCCAATGGGCATCCGTATGGGTGTCCCTATGGGTACCACTATGGGTGTCCCTATGGGCATCGCTATGGGGGTTCCAATGGGGGTCCCCATGGGGGTTCCAATGGGCATCCTATGGGTACCACAATGGGTGTCCCTATGGGCATCTTGTGGGCGTCCCAATGGGCATCCTATGGGTGTCCCTATGGGTGTCCCTATGGGCATCCTATGGGTACCACAGTGGGTGTCCTAATGGGCATCCTATGGGTGTCCCTATGAGCATCCCAATGGGCATCCTATGGGTGTTCCAATGGGTGTCCCTATGGATACCACAATGGGTGTCCCTATGGGTGTCCCAATGGGCATCCTATGGGTGTCACTATGGGCATCCTATGGGTACCACAATGGATGTCCCTGTGGGCATCCTATGGGTGTCCCTGTGAGCATCCCAATGGGCATCCTATGGGTGTTGCAATGGGTGTCTCTATGGGCATCCTATGGGTGTTCCAATGGGTGTCCCAATGGGCATCCTATGGGTACCACTATGGGTGTCCCTATCGGCATCCCAATGGTCATCCTATGGGTGTTCCAATGGGTGTCCCTATGGGCATCCCGGTGGGCATCCTATGGGTACCACTATGGGCACCCTAATGGGCATCCCAATAGGCATCCAAAGAGCATGAGTATGGGTACCACTTATGGGCACCCCAATAGGCACCTCAGTGGGTGTTCCTATGGGTGTCTCTATGGGCATCGCTGTAGGCACCCTATGGGTGTCGCTATGGGCATCCCAATGGCACCCCCGAGGAGCTTCCCTATGGGCACCCCAATGGGTATCCCTATGGGCATCCTTATGGGCACCCCTATGGGCACCCCTATGGGCACCCCAATGGGTGTCCCTATGGGCATCCTTATGGGCACCTCTATGGGTGTCCCTATGGGCATCCTTATGGGCACCCCTATGGGTGTTCCTATGGGGCATCCCTATGGGCACCCCTATGAGCACCCCAATGGGTGTCCCTATGGGCATCCTTATGGGCACCCCTATGGGTGTCCCTATGGGCACCCCAATGGGGCATCCCTATGGACACCCCAATGAGTGTCCCTATGGGGCATCCCTATGGGCACCCCAATGGGGCATCCCTATGGGGCATCCCAATGGGTTGCAGCACCCATGGCAGCACTGCTTGGGGGGGGGGAGGGGGTGGGTTATGGGTGCTCAATGGGGTTTATGGGTGCTCAGCACACCCCGGGCCCCTTCCCCTCCCCCATTGGGTGCCTCCCCTCCCCCCCCCCCCCATGTTCCTCCTTTCCCCACACATCCGGATGTTGAGGTTTGCTGAGTAATTCCCGGCTCCGGGGGCCCTTCCTGGGGCTGCAGGGGGGCAGAGAGGGGGTGCTATGGGGTGCTGTGGGTCCCTATGGGTCTCTATGAGTCCTTATGGGTCTCTATGGGTCTTTCTGGTGTCTGTGGATCCCTATGGGTAGCTATAGGTTCCTAGGAGTCCCTATGGGTTGCTATCGGTCCTTATGGGTCCCTATGGGGTCGTTATGGATTTCTGTGGGGCCCTATGGTTTCTATGGGTACCTATGGTCCCTGTAGGTCTCTATGGGTCTCTGTGGATCCCTATGGTTTCTGTGGGTCTCTGTGGTATCGATGGGTCCCTATAGGTCTCTGTGGGGTCTCTATGGGTCCCTATGAGGTCACTATGTGTCTCTGTGGGGTCTCTATGGGGTCTCTGTGTCTCTATGGGGTCTCTGTGTCCCTATGGATCCCTATGGGGTCCTTGTGTGTCTCTATGGGTCTCTGTGGGATCTCTATAAGTCCCTATAGGGTTTCTATGGGTCTGTATGGGGTCTCTATGGGTGTCTGTTTGTCTCTATGGGTCTCTATGGGGTCTCTATCGGTCTCTGTGGGATCTCTATAGGTCTCTATGGGGTCTCTATGGGTCTCTGTGGGTCCTTATGGGTCTCTATGGGGTCTCTGTGTGTCTTTCTGGGTCCCAATGGGGTCTCTATGGGTCCCTATGGGATCTCTAATGGGGTCTCTATGGATCCCTATGGGGTCTCTCTGGGACCCAATGGGTCTCTATGTGCCCCTATGGGTCCCAATGGGGTCTCTATGGGTCCTTATGGGGCTCTATGGATCTGTATGGGGTCTCTGTGGCTCCCTATGTGTCTCTGTGTGTCCCTATGGGGTCTCTGTGGGGTCTCTATAGGTCCCTATCGGTCTCTATGGGTGTCTGTGTGCCTCGCGCGTATGGGTCTGCACCGCGCTGAACTGGTGCTCCTTAGAGGGCGCCCGAGGGCGGCGACCAACAGCGCCTGGAGCTCTATCAGGTACCCCCCCCTCTATGGGCAATGGAACAGTCCTGGGGATGGGAACCCCCCCCTCTATGGGCAATGGAACAGTCCTGGGTACGGGAACCCCCCATTAGGGGCAATGGAACAGTCCTGGGGATGGGAACCCCCCCTCTATGGGCAATGGAACAGTCCTGGGGATGGGAACCCCCCCTCTATGGGCAATGGAACAGTCCCCCCCTATGGGCAATGGAACAGGCTATGGGCAATGGAACAGTCCTGGGGATGGGCCGCCCCCTCCTGCAATGGAACAGCTTCAACGCCTCGCGCGTGGGCAATGGAACAGAGCTGGGCAATGGAACAGTCCTGGGCGCTGCTGCACCGCGCCGAACTGCGCATGCTCCGCCAGAGGGCGCCCGAGGGCGGCGACCAACAGCGCCTGGAGCTCTATCAGGTACCCCCCCCTCTATGGGCAATGGAACAGTCCTGGGGATGGGACCACTCCCCCTCTATGGGCAATGGAACAGTCCTGGGGATGGGAACCCCCCTCTATGGGCAATGGAACAGTCCTGGGGATGGGAACCCCCCCTCTATGGGCAATGGAACAGTCCTGGGGATGGGAACCCCCCCTCTATGGGCAACCCCCCCTCTATGGGCAATGGAACAGTCCTGGGGATGGGAACCCCCCCTCTATGGGCAATGGAACAGTCCTGGGGATGGGACCCCCCCCCCCCTCTATGGGCAATGGAACAGTCCTCTCTCTCTCTCTCCCTCTATGGGCAATGGAACAGTCCCCCCCCCCTCTATGGGCAATGGAACAGTCCCCCCCCCCCTCTCCCCCCCCCTCTCTATGGGCAATGGAACCCCCCCCTCTATGGGCAATGGAACAGTCCTGGGGATGTGACCCCCCCCCCCCTCTATGGGCAATGGAACAGTCCTGGGGATGGGAACCCCCCCCTCTATGGGCAATGGAACAGTCCTGGGGATGGGAACCCCCCCTCTATGGGCAATGGAACAGTCCTGGGTATGGGAACCCCCCCCATTATGGGCAATGGAACAGTCCTGGGTATGGGAACCCCCCCATTATGGGCAATGGAACAGTCCTGGGGATGGGAACCCCCCCTCTATGGGCAATGGAACAGTCCTGGGGATGGGAACCCCCCCCCTCTATGGGCAATGGAACAGTCCTGGGGATGGGAACCCCCCTCTATGGGCAATGGAACAGTCCTGGGGATGGGAACCCCCCCTCTATGGGCAATGGAACAGTCCTGGGGATGGGAACCCCCCCCCTCTATGGGCAATGGAACAGTCCTGGGTACGGGAACCCCCCCTCTATGGGCAATGGAACAGTCCTGGGGATGGGAACCCCCCCCTCTATGGGCAATGGAACAGTCCTGGGGATGGGAACCCCCCCCTCTATGGGCAATGGAACAGTCCTGGGGATGGGAACCCCCCCCCCCTCTATGGGCAATGGAACAGTCCTGGGGATGGGAACCCCCCCCTCTATGGGCAATGGAACAGTCCTGGGTACGGGAACCCCCCCTCTATGGGCAATGGAACAGTCCTGGGTACGGGAACCCCCCCTCTATGGGCAATGGAACAGTCCTGGGTATGGGAACCCCCCCCATTATGGGCAATGGAACAGTCCTGGGGACCCCCCCTCTATGGGCAATGGATGGGTTTTGGGGTCCCTGGTTGGGTTTTGGGGTCCCTGGTTGGGTTTTGGGGTCCTTGGTTCGGTTTTGGGGTGCCCGGATGTGGTTTTGGGGTCCCCAGTTGGGTTTTGGGGTCCCCGGATGTGGTTTTGGGGTCCCCAGATGTGGTTTTGGGGTCCCCAGATGTGGTTTTGGGGTCCCTGGTTGGGTTTTGGGGTCCCCAGTTGGGTTTTGGGGTCCCCGATGTGGTTTTGGAGTCCCCGGATGCAGTTTTGGGGTCCAGGGATGGGTTTTGGGGTCCCTGGATGCAGTTTTGGGGTCCCCAGATGTGGTTTTGGGGTCCTTGGTTGGGTTTTGGGGTCCCTGGATGGGGTTTGGGGTCCCGGGATGGGTTTTGGGGTCCCCGGTTGGGTTTTGGGGTCCTTTGTTGGGTTATGGGATCCCCGGATGTGGTTTTGGGGTCCTTGGTTGGGTTTTGGGGTCCCCAGATGTGGTTTTGGGGTCCCTGGTTGGGTTTTGGGGTCCCCGGATGTGGTTTTGGGGTCCCCAGTTGGGTTTTGGGGTCCTTTGTTGGGTTTTGGGGTCCCTGGATGTGGTTTTGGGGTCCCCGGATGTGGTTTTGGGGTCCAGGGATGTGTTTTGGGGTCCCTGGATGCAGTTTTGGGGTCCCCGATGTGGTTTTGGAGTCCCCAGATGTGGTTTTGGGGTCCAGGGATGTGTTTTGGGGTCCCTGGATGCAGTTTTGGGGTCCCCAGATGTGGTTTTGGGGTCCCTGGTTGGGTTTTGGCGTCCCTGGATGGGTTTTGGGGTCCCTGGTTGGGTTTTGGGGTCCTTTGTTGGGTTTTGGGGTCCCCGGATGTGGTTTTGGGGTCCCCGGATGTGGTTTTGGGGTCCCCGTTGTAACCGGGGGGGGTCCCTGTCCCCCCAGGGCTTTGGCAACGCCTCCTGGCGGTACCTGCAGGGCCGCTGGGTGCGGGCGGCCCCCGACGAGGAGTGGGTCTGGTTCGACGTCACCGAGGCCGTGCAGCAGTGGCTGGGGGGCAATGGTGATGTATGGGGGGCTATGGGGTGGGGGGGCGGTACGGGTAATGGGGTCCCAATGGGGACCTCAATGGGGATCTCAATGGGCACCCAATGGGGACCTCAATGGGGATCTCAATGGGCACCCAATGGGGACCTCAATGGGGACCTCAATGGGTACGTCAATGGTCAACCCAATGGGCATCGTAATGGGCACCTCCATGGGGACCTCAATGGGCATCTCCAGGGGCACCTCAATAGGGACCCCATTGGGCACCCCAATGGGTAGCTCAGTGGGCACCCAATGGGCATCCAGTGGGTACCTCAATGGGGACCTCAATGGGGACCTCAATGGGCACCCAATGGGGACCTCAATGGGGACCTCAGTGGGGACCTCAATGGGCACCTGAATGGGCACCCCAATGGGCAGCTCAGTGGGTGCCTCAATGGGGACCTCAATGGGCACCCCAATGGGCACCTCAGTGAGTACCTTAATGGGGACCTCAATGGGCACCCCAATGGGCACCTCAGTGAGTACCTTAATGGGGACCTCAATGGGCACCTCAATGGGCACCTGAATGGGCACCTCAGTGGGGACCTCAGTGGGCACCCAATGATCATCCCAATGGCCACCTCAGTGGGCACTTCAATGGGCACCCAGTGGGTGTCCCAATGGCGCCTTTAGTGGTCAGCCCAGAGTTGCCCCAATGGTCGCCCCAATGGCACCTCAGTGGCCACTCAGTCGGCACCTTAGTGGGCATCCCCATGGTCAACCCAATGGGCCCCCAATGGTCACCTCAATGGGCATCCCCATGGTCAACCCAATGGGCCCCCAATGGTCACCTCAATGGGCATCCCAATGGTCAACCCAGTGGTACCACAATGGGCACCCAATGGGCACCTAATGACTACCCCAATGGGCACCCAACGATCATTCCAGTGGGCACCCGATGACCATCCCAATGGGCACCCAATGATCAACCCAATGGGCAACCAATGATCATCCCAATGGGCACTCGATGATCAACCCAATGGGCAACCAATGATCATTCCAATGGCACCCAATGGGCACCCAATGATCATCCCAACGGGCACCCAATGATCATCCCAATGGCACCCAATGGGCAACCAATGATCATCCCAACAGGCACCCAATGGGCACCCCATTTGATCATCTCAATGTTACCCAATGTGCACCCAATGATCATCCCAATGGGCACCCAATGGGCACCCCATTTGATCATCTCAATGGCACCCAATGGGCACCCAATGATCATCCCAATGGGCACCCAATGGGCATCCCAATGGCACCCAATGGGCACCCAAAGGGACCCAATGGGCCTTTCAATGGGCACCCAATGCCCCCCCCATCACTGTTGACCCCTCTCTCCCCATAGACCCCATAGGCACGTTCAAACTGAGCGTCCATTGCCCCTGCGACGAGCCGGGCCCGCCCCCCCCCATGCGCTTCACCTTCGAAGGTACCACTGGGGGACGGGGGTGGTTTGGGTTAAATTCGGGTGATTTTGGGTTAAATTTGGTGATTTTGGGTTAAATTTGGTGATTTTGGGTTAAATTCGGGTGATTTGGGGTTAAATTTGGGTGATTTTGGGGTATAATTTGTGTGATTTGGGGTTAAATCCAGGTGATTTTGGGTTAAATACAGGTGATTTTGGGTTAAATTCGGATGGTTTTGGGTTAAATTCGGGTGATTTGGGGTTAAATATGGGTGGTTTTGGGTTAAATCCCGGTGGTTTTGGGTTAAATGCAGGCGGTTTGGGGTTAAAACCGGGCGGTTTTGGGTTAAATTTGGGTGATTTGGGCTTAAATCCGGATGATTTGGGGTTAAATCCGGGCGATTTTGGGTTAAAACCGGGCGGTTTTGGTTAAATCCGGGTGGTTTTGGGTTAAATCCGGGCGGTTTGGGTTAAATCCGGGTGATTTTGGGTTAAATCCGGGTGATTTGGGGTTAAATCCGGATGGTTTTGGGTTAAATCCGGGCGATTTTGGGTTAAATACGGGCGATTTTGGGTTAAATCCAGGTGATTTCGGGTTAAATCCGGGCGGTTTTGGGTTAAATCTGGGCGCTTTTGTGTTAAATCCGGGTGGTTTCAGTTTAATCCGGGTGATTTTGGGTTAAATCCGGGTGGTTTTGGGTTAAATCCGGGTGGTTTCAGTTTAATCCGGGCGATTTTGGGTTAAAACCGGGCGGTTTTGGTTAAATCCGGGTGGTTTTGGGTTAAATCCGGGCAGTTTTGGTTAAATCCGGGTGATTTTGGGTTAAATCCGGGTGGCTTCAGTTAAATCAGGGTGATTTTGGGTTAAATCCGGGTGATTTTGGGTTAAATCCGGGTGATTTCGGGTTAAATCCGGGTTATTTTGGGTTAAATCCGGGTGATTTTGGGTTAAATCCGGGTGATTTTGGGTTAAATCCGGATGGTTTTGGGTTAAATCCGGGCGATTTTGGGTTAAATCCGGGTGATTTTGGTTAAATCCGGGTGATTTTGGGTTAAATCCGGGTGATTTTGGGTTAAATCCGGGTGATTTTGGGTTAAATCCGGGTGATTTTGGTTAAATCCGGGTGATTTTGGTTAAATCCGGGTGATTTGGGGTTAAATCCGGGTGGTTTTGGGTTAAATCCGGGCGGTTTTGGGTTAAATCCGGGCGATTTTGGGTTAAATCCGGGTGATTTTGGTTAAATCCGGGTGATTTCGGGTTAAATCCGGGCGATTTTGGGTTAAATCCGGGTGATTTTGGGTTAAATCCGGGCGATTTTGGGTTAAATCCGGGTGATTTTGGGTTAAATCCGGATGATTTCGGTTAAATCCAGGTGATTTTGGGTTAAATCCGGATGATTTCGGTTAAATCCGGGTGATTTTGGGTTAAATCCGGATGGTTTTGGGTTAAATCCGGGTGATTTTGGTTAAATCCGGGTGATTTTGGTTAAATCCGGATGATTTTGGGTTAAATCCGGATGATTTTGGGTTAAATCCGGGTGATTTTGGGTTAAATCCGGGTGATTTTGGGTTAAATCCGGGTGATTTTGGGTTAAATCCGGGTGATTTTGGGTTAAATCCGGGTGATTTTGGTTAAATCCGGGCGGTTCCGCAGGGTTCGAGCAGCAGCGCGGGGACATGCAGGGCATCGCGCGCAAGCACCAGCGCGCCCCCTACGTGCTGGCGATGGTACTGCCCCAGGAGCGCGGCAACGACCTGCGCAGCGCCCGGCGCCGCCGCGGCATCGACCCCCCCTTCTGCTTCGGGTGAGTGGGACCGGCCCGAAATGGACACAAACGGACCCAAAATTGACCTAAACTGACCCAAAATGGATCCAAACAGACCCAAAATTGACCTAAACTGACCCAAAATGGACAAAAATGGACACAAACGGACCCAAAATTGACCTAAACTAACCCAAAATGGACCTAAACTGACCCAAACAGACCCAAAATGGACCCAAAATTGACCGAAACTGACCCAAACGGAGCCAAAATGGACCCAAACGGACCCAAAATTGACCTAAACTGACCCAAACGGACCCAAAATGGACCCAAACGGACCCAAACTTGACCCAAACAGACCCAAAATGGACCCCAAACGGACCCAAAATTGACCCAAACGGACCAAAATGGACCCAAACGGACCCAAAATTGACCCAAACGGACCCAAAATTGACCGAAACTGACCCAAACGGACCCAAAATGGACCCAAACGGACCCAAAATTGACAAGAAACTGACCCAAACAGACCCAAAATTGACCTAAACTGACCCAAAATGGACACAAAATGGACCCAAATGGACCCAAAATTGACCTAAACTGACCCAAAATGGACCTAAACTGACCCAAAGGGACCCAAAATGGACCCAAAGGGACCCAAAATGGACCCAAACAGACCCAAAATGGACCCAAACGGACCCAAAATTGACCTAAACTGACCCAAAACCGACCCAAATGGACCAAAACTGACCCAAAATGGACCTAAACTGACCCAAACGGACCCAAACTGGACCCAAAACAGACACAAATCAGCCCAAAATGGACCCAAACGGACCCAAAATTGACCTAAACTGACCCAAAATGGACCTAAACTGACCCAAAACGGACCCAAACTGACACAATTCACCCCCCATTCATCCCCATTGACCCCCATTTACCCTCATTGACTTCCATTCATCCCCCGTTCATTCCCATTCACCCCCATTCAATCACTCATTCACCCTTTACCCCCATTCATTCACCCCCCTTTACCCCCATTCACCCCCATTTATCCCCATTCATTCCCCTTTGATTCCCATTCATTCCCCCCCATTGATTCCCATTCATCCCCCCATTGATTCCCATTCATCCCCCCATTGATTCCCATTCACCCCCATTCATTCCCCCCCATTCATCCCCCCACTGATTCCCATTCATTCCCCCATTGATTCCCATTCCCCCCCATTCATCCCCCCGTTGATTCCCATTCATCCCCCCATTGATTCCCATTCCCCCCCATTCATTCACCCCCATTCATCCCCCCACTGATTCCCATTCACCCCATTCATTCACCCCCATTGATTCCCATTCACCCCCATTCATTCCCCCATTGATTCCCATTCATCCCCCCATTGATTCCCATTCACCCCCATTCATCCCCCCATTGATCCCCCCATTCATCCCCCCCCCCCCCATTCATCCCCCCATTCATCCCCCCATTCATCCCCCCCATTGATCCCCCCATTCATCCCCCCCATTGATCCCCCCATTGATACCCCCCCATTCATCCCCCCATTCATCCCCATTCCCCCCATTGATTCCCATTCACCCCCATTCATTCCCCCCCATTGATTCCCATTCACCCCCATTCATCCCATTGATTCCCATTCACCCCCATTCATCCCCCCATTGATTCCCATTCATCCCCCCATTGATTCCCATTCATCCCCCCATTGATTCCCATTCATTCCCCCCCATTGATTCCCATTCCCCCCATTCATTCCCCCCCATTCATCCCCCCATTGATTCCCATTCATTCCCCCCCATTGATTCCCATTCACCCCCATTCATTCCCCCATTGATTCCCATTCATCCCCCCATTGATTCCCATTCACCCCCATTCATTCCCCCCCATTCCCCCCATTCATCCTCCCATTGATTCCCATTCATTCCCATTGATTCCCATTCACCCCCATTGATTCCCCCCCATTCATTCCCCCATTGATTCCCATTCACCCCCATTGATTCCCCCCCATTCCCCCCCATTCATCCCCCCATTGATTCCCATTCACCCCCATTCATTCACCCCCATTCATCCCCCCATTAACTCCCATTCATCCCCCCATTGACTCCCATTCATCCCCCCATTGACTCCCATTCATCCCCCCCCCATTCCCTGCCCCACTGCAGCCCGGAGGAGCAGAGCTGCTGCCTTCGCCCCCTCTACATCGACTTCCGACGGGACCTGCACTGGCGCTGGATCCACGAGCCCCCCGGCTACATGGCCAACTTCTGTGGGGGGGGCTGCCCCTACCTCTGGAGCGCCGACACGCAGTACTCCAAGGTGCGCCCGGACCCATAAGTGTGGGGCTGGGAGCCGTAAGTGGCGGGTGGGAGGTAGAGATGTGGGGCTGAGACCCATAAGTGTGGGGCAGGACCCATAAGTGGGGGGTGGGATCTATAGATGTGGGGCTGAGACCCGTAAGTGTGGGGTGGGGGCCATAAATGTGGGGCTGGGAGCCGTAAGTGGGGGGTGAGAGGTAGAGATGTGGGGCTGAGACCCATACGTGTGGGGCAGGACCCATAAGTGAGGGGTGGGATCTATAGATGTGGGGCTGAGACCCATAGATGTGGGGCTGAGACCCATAGATGTGGGGCTGAGACCCATACGTGTGGGGCAGGACCCATAAGTGGGGGGTGGGATAATGTGGGGCTGTAAGTGTGGGGTGGGAGCCATAAGTGGGGGGTGGGAGCTATAGATGTGGGGCTGAGACCCATAAGTGTGGGGTGGGAGCCATAAATGTGGGGCTGGGAGCCATAAGTGGGGGGTGGGAGCTATAGATGTGGGGCTGAGACCCATACGTGTGGGGCAGGACCCATAAGTGAGGGGTGGGATCTATAGATGTGGGGCTGAGACCCGTAAGTGTGGGGTGGGAGCCATGGATGTGGGGCTGAGACCCGTAAGCGGGGGGTGGGAGCTATAGATGTGGGGCTGAGACCCATACGTGTGGGGCAGGACCCATAAGTGGGGGGTGGGATCTATAGATGTGGGGCTGAGACCCGTAAGCGGGGGGTGGGAGCTATAGATGTGGGGCTGAGACCCATAAGTGTGGGGTGGGAGCTATACATGTGGGGCTGAGACCCATAAGTGTGGGGTGGGAGCCATGGATGTGGGGCTGGGAGCCATAAGTGGGGGGTGGGAGCTATAGATGTGGGGCTGAGACCCATACGTGTGGGGCAGGACCCATAAGTGGGGGGTGGGATCTATAGATGTGGGGCTGAGACCCATAAGTGTGGGGTGGGAGCCATAAGTGTGGGACTGGGAGCCATGGAGGGGAGGTGGGACCCATAAGTGTGGGGCTGGACCCATAGATGTGGGGTGGGAGCCATGGATGTGGGGCGGGACCCATAAGGATGGGGTGGGAGGCTTGTGGGGCTGGACTCATAGATATGGGGCTGGACCCATAAGTGTGGGGCACAACCCATAAGGGTGTGGTAGAACCTATAGAGAGGAGCTGGGAGCCGTAAGTGTGGGGCTGGAGCCATGGATGTGGGGTGGGACCCATAAGTGTGGGTCCGATCCGACAGATATGGGTCTGCCCTATAGATGTGGGTCTGGCCCCACAAGTGTGGGTCTGCCCCATTGCTGTGGGTCCTGCCCCATAAGTGTGGGTCCTGCCCCATTGCTCTGGGTCCAGCCCCACAGATGTGGCTCCAGCCCCATATGTGTGGGTCCAGCCCCATAGATGTGGCTCCAGCCCCATATGTGTGGGTCCAGCCCCATATGTGTGGGTCCAGCCCCATAGATGTGGCTCCAGCCCCATATGTGTGGGTCTGGCCCTATAAGTGTGGGTCCAGCCCCATAGATGTGTCTCCAGCCCCATTGCTGTGGCTCTGCCACATTGCCGTGGGTCTGGCCCCATATGTGTGGGTCCAGCCCCATATGTGTGGGTCCAGCCCCACAGATGTGGCTCCAGCCCCATATGTGTGGGTCTGGCCCTACAAGTGTGGGTCCAGCCCCATAGATGTGGCTCCAGCCCCGTATGTGTGGGTCTGGCCCTATAAGTGTGGGTCCAGCCCCATAGATGTGTCTCCAGCCCCATTGCTGTGGCTCTGCCACATTGCTGTGGGTCTGGCCCCATATGTGTGGGTCCAGCCCCACAGATGTGGCTCCAGCCCCATATGTGTGGGTCTGGCCCTATAAGTGTGGGTCCAGCCCCATAGATGTGTCTCCAGCCCCATTGCTGTGGCTCTGCCACATTGCCGTGGGTCTGGCCCCATAAGTGTGGGTCCAGCCCCATAAGTGTGGGTCCCGCCGCAGGTGCTGGCCCTGTACACGCAGCACAACCCGGGGGGCTCGGCCGCCCCCTGCTGCGTGCCCCAGAGCCTGGAGCCGCTCCCCATCGTTTATTATGTGGGGCGCAAGGCGCGCGTGGAGCAGCTCTCGGACATGGTGGTGCGGGCCTGCAAGTGCAGCTGAGACGGAGCCAAAACCGCCCGAAACGGACCCAAAACGGAGCCAAAACCGCCCGAAACGGACCCAAAACGGAGCCAAAACCGCCCGAAACGGACCCAAAACCGCCTGAAACGGAGCCAAAACCGCCTGAAACGGACCCAAAACGGACCCAAAACCGCCCGAAACGGACCCAAAACGGACCCAAAACTGCCTGAAACGGACCCAAAACGGAGCCAAAACCGCCTGAAACGGACCCAAAACGGAGCCAAAACCGCCCGAAACGGACCCAAAACCGCCTGAAACGGACCCAAAACTGCCTGAAACGGAGCCAAAACCGCCCGAAACGGACCCAAAACGGAGCCAAAACCGCCCGAAACGGAGCCAAAACCGCCCGAAACGGAGCCAAAACCGCCCGAAACGGACCCAAATCTGCCTGAAACGGACCCAAAACGGAGCCCAAATGGACCCAAAACGGAGCCGAAACTGACCCAAAACCGCCTGAAACGGACCCAAAATGGAGCCAAAACCGCCTGAAACGGACCCAAAACCGCCCGAAACGGACCCAAAACTGCCTGAAACGAACCCAAAATGGACCCAAAACCGCCTGAAACCGACCCAAAACCGCCCGAAACGGACCCAAAACGGAGCCGAAACCGCCCGAAACGGACCCAAAACCGCCTGAAACGGACCCAAAACGGAGCCAAAACCGCCCGAAACGGACCCAAAACGGAGCCGAAACCGCCCGAAACGGACCCAAAACGGACCCAAAACCGCCTGAAACGGACCCAAAACGGAGCCGAAACCGCCTGAAACGGACCCAAAACCGCCTGAAATGGACCCAAAACGGAGCCGAAACCGCCCGAAACGGACCCAAAACGGAGCCAAAACCGCCTGAAACGGACCCAAAACGGAGCCGAAACCGCCCGAAACGGACCCAAAACGGAGCCGAAACCGCCTGAAACGGAGCCAAAACGGAGCCAAAACCGCCCGAAACGGACCCAAACCGGAGCCAAAACCGCCTGAAACGGACCCAAAACGGAGCCAAAACGGACCCAAAACCACCTGAAATGGACCCAAAACGGAGCCCAAATGGACCCAAAACCAAGCCCAAACGGACCCAAAACCGCCTGAAACGGACCCAAAACGGCCTGAAACGGACCCAAAACGGAGCCAAAACCGCCCGAAATGGACCCAAAACGGAGCCAAAACGGACCCAAAACCACCTGAAATGGACCCAAAACGGAGCCCAAATGGACCCAAAACCAAGCCCAAACGGACCCAAAACGGAGCCCGAAACGGACCCAAAACCACCTGAAATGGACCCAAAACCAAGCCCAAACGGACCAAAAACCGCCTGAAATGGACCCAAAACGGAGCCCGAAACGGACCCAAAACCGCCTGAAACGGACCCAAAATGGACCCAAAACCGCCTGAAACAGACCCAAAACAGAACCCAAATGGACCCAAAACCGCCTGAAATGGACCCAAAACGGAGCCCGAAACGGACCCAAAACCACCTGAAACAGACCCAAAACGGAGGCAAAATGGACCCAAAACGGATCCGAAACGGACCCAAAACTGCAGGGAATGGACCCAAAACCGCCTGAAACGGACCCAAAATGGAGGCAAAACGGAGCCCAAATGGACCCAAAACGGAGCCCAAATGGACCCAGAACCGCCAGAAATGGACCCAAAACGGAGCCCAAACGGACCCAAAACTGCCTGAAACGGACCCAAAATGGAGCTGAAACAGACCCAAAACTGCCTGAAATGGACCCAAAACGGCGCTCAAACGGACCCAAAACTGCCTGAAATTGCCCCAAACCAGACCAGAAACAGGCAAAAGCTGCCCCAAACCCAGCCCAAAATTGCCCAAAACTGGGCAAAACCAGCCCAAAGAGACCCCCAAAATCAGCCTTTTTCACCCCAAAACCACCGCTTTGGCCCCAAAACATCGCTTTTCCACCCCAAAACCCAACCCAGAGACCCCTTTGTACCCCCAAAACACCCCTTTTTCACCCCAAAACGCTTTTGTACCCAAAATCCACCTTTTTCACCCCAAAACGCTTTTGTACTCCAAAAACGCCCTTTTTCACCCCAAAACCAACGTTTTTCCACCCAACCCCCCACTTGTACCCCAAACCCACCCTGTGCACACCCAAAATCTCCCTTTTTCACCCCAAAATACCCTTCCCCCCCAATAAAACCTTATTTAATTTCTCCTTTTTTTGGGCTCAATTTCTGCGTTTTTGGGGCTGGAAAAGCTAAAAACACCCATGGGGGGGGGGGAGGGGCAGGAAATGGGGCCCTTCCGCACCCAAAACCACCCTTTTTCACCCCAAAATCCCTCCTTCACCCCAAAGCCCTTCTCTTTACCCCAAATCCCCCATTTTTACTCCAAAACTCCCTTTTTCACCCCAAAAAAACCTCTTTTTAACCCTTTTTTCACCCCAAACCCCCCTTTTTGACCCCAAAAAAACTTTACCCCAAAACACCCTTTTTCACCCCAAAATTTTTCACCCCAACACCATTTCCACCCCAAAAAAAAACTTTTTACCCCCCAAAACCTTTTTCACCCCAAAACTTTACCCAAAAACCCCCTTTTTCACCCCAAAACCCGTTTTACCCCAAAACCCCCTTTTTCACCCCAAAACCCTTTTTACCCCAAACCCCCCCTTTTTACCCCAAAACTGCCTTTTTTTACCCCAAAGAACCCTTTTTGACCCCAAACCCCTGCTTTTTACCCTAAAAACCCCTTTTTCACCCCAAAACTCCCTTTTTCACCCAAAACCCCCTTTTTACCCCAAATCCACCTTTTTCACCCCAAAATCCTTTTTCTCCCCAAAAAACCCTTTTTCAACCCCAAAACCCCCTTTTTTACCCCAAACCCTGTCTTTTTTACTCCAAAACCCCCTTTTTGACCCAAAACCCCTCTTTTCACCCCAAAACCCCCTTTTTCCCCAAATAACCCTCTTTTCACCCCAAACCCCCCTCTTTTCACCCCAAAACCTCCTTTTTCCCCAAATAACCCTCTTTTCACCCCAAAACCCCCTCTTTTCACCCCAAAACCTCCTCTTTTTACCCCAAAACCCACTCCAACGGCGGGGTCCTTCCAATGGGGTGGGGGGGGCACCCATAGGTCCCATTAAGGGCAATGGGGGGGGGGCACCCATAGGTCCCATTATTGGCAATGGGGCGGGTGGGGGGGGCACCCATAGGTCCCATTATTGGCAATGGGGGGGGCACCCATAGGTCCCATTATTGGCAATGGGGGGGGGGGGGGCACCCATAGGTCCCATTATTGGCAATGGGGGGGGGGGCACCCATAGGTCCCATTATTGGCAATGGGGGGGGGGGGCACCCATAGGTCCCATTATTGGCAATGGGGGGGG